TTCCGTAATTACAAGAAATATTTCGTTTTAATGAAAATTATTTTTTTGTTGCATAATTTATGATCGCCACTGTATATAAGGCATGATTTTTCGATATTTAAATCATTTATTTATTTATTTATTTTTGATATTCATTTTTGTTAGTAAATAAGTCACTTACGTACGCCTCGGACAATTATCTAAAATATTTCATAAAATTTTTCATTAAAAATTTATTATAAGAATAAATTATTTAAAAATCTTTTATTAATATTAAGCTATTAATTTGTAAAACTATAAGAAAATGCTAAAATAAATTGTAAAGCAAATTATTATTGATATTCTAGTACAAGATACTATATTACAAATAAATAAAAATAGTTATATATTATAAGCGTCAAATAATAGAAATAAAGTAAAAAATATAATAATTAGATTACTTTGATTCTTTAATATTTATAAAATATTTTGGATTAAGTTAGTATTTGCAATATAAAATATTTTATTTGACAAATGAAAAAAAAAGTAAAATTGGTAATATTTAATAAATAATTATTTGTTTAAATTTTTTTAATAATCAATAGTATAAATCAATTAAAATATGCTACATACTTTTAAATTTATCAATTGATAAATAGTGAATCAAAAATTCAAATTAATAAGACAAATCTAGTAGTAACTAGGAACTGCGTTTTGCAGAATGATTTAATAAATTACAACATTAAATCCAGAATCAAAATTGTTATCTCAACCGCGATTGCTAAAATCCAAAGTTGTAGTAAAATAAATTAAGTTCTATTACTTCTTCTTAAAACTTCAACTCCTTCTAAAGCTACAAAAACGTCGGGTAATTCTAAAACTCTATTATAACCTAGATGATTTTCTCTTATATCAGGCTTATCCAAAAATCCTACTTTAACTAAATAACCCAAGTAAATTCCTATTAATCTTTCTCCCATTCTCTCACATTCTTTACCAACAATTTCTTGCGTATTAGTATTATCTAATTCAGGTGATTTTGTAGATGTTGGTAAATCATCAAGAACAAAATGGAGTAACGGATATAACGCATTATCTCCTGCTTTTAATGTAAATTCCATTAATTTGTTTCTCCATACAATATATTCGGCTTTTTCTACTGTATATCCATAACGAGGCAAGCAAGAAAATAACTCATCAAGTCTAAATGACGAACTTGAGGGATGCGTGATATTGAACACACACTTTGACGCTGCTATAGGTGATAAAGATATGTGCGTAACGCATCCGGCAACGTAATCAACAGGACACATGTTGATGGTGTTATAAATCGTAGGTACTACACCTAGCTGAATGCATCCTTTGACTAACCTCCAAATAAAATCATCAGTATTTGTAACTATAAGGGCAAAAGAATAGTGATTAAAAGTAATTACAATATTAAAAGTTTTGCATAAAATAAATAACAATCAATGATAAACAACCATACCTCCAGTTGTAGAATGTCCAACTATATATCCAGGTCTTATTATCGTGGCCGTCATTCCTCTCTTATTTGCTTCCATAATTAATTTTTCTGATACCCACTTGCTTTGTCCATATCCACTCTTTAATCCTGTCCTACTTCCCTCTAAATCATCATTTTCATAAATTCCTTTTCCACCCCTTCCAATAATAGAATCACTTAAATTTACATAATGTTCTGTATCAAGAACTGAAGTTGAACTAACAAAGTTAAAAGGTTTGGTGTGATGTGCTGAGGCAAGTTTAAGTGCCCAAAGAGTTCCAAGCACATTTGCTGCCCTAAGTTTTGGATAAGGATAAACCCAATGTACCTATAATGACACAATTAAGATTTATGAGTCAAATAAAAAAAAATGGTATTATAATGCCAATGCTCGTATACAAATTCTCACCAAGGCACCGTTATGAATCACGACATCCACACGTTCCGCGAGTGATTTCCACTCTTCTTCACTGATTCCTAACCTGTCTTTTTCCAAATCACCACAGACCACTTCCAATCTGCCTCGAGTCTCCCACTCGCCTCTCCATACTAGATGTGACATACAACTTTTCTTTACTCTTTCCATTGCAAGAGATTTTGTTTCAGACCTAACGTGGGCAATAAGTTTAATGTCATTACTAAAATCAAGTAGAGATGAAACAATAAATGCCCCAAGGAATCCAGTAACGCCGGTAACGAAGAAGGTCTTCCTGGGGTAATTCTCCGTAATTGGCTCATAACTTTCTTGTATGTGTTCAGTTAACAATGACTCATAATCACTAGCGTAATCAAATTCTGCTTTATCTTCCTTTGAAACTTGGATCTTACTTTTATTTGCAACAACTGTATTTTCCAGCAAGTCGGTCACTTCACCAGCCAAATTATATTCACCACTTAACATATTATCAACTTCTTTAGCTTGTCCACGAATAGTTGGTCTTTCAAAGACTATTCCGAGAGGCACGTTAACACCGCAAGTCTTCCTTAATTCAAAAATTAATCTTGTCGCTGTAATTGAATGTCCACCAAGGTCAAAGAAACTTTCATCCAATGGTATAGGTTTAGGCAGATTTGGAAGAATTCGAGCCCAAATTTCATAAACTTGCTGTTCGGATACTGTCATTTGCTCTTTTTTATTAACTCCAGTAGCCGACTGTGATGCAAATTCGGCAGTATCGGGGAAAGGTAATGCAGGCTTATCTATTTTTCCATTAGGTGTCAAGGGCATCTTTCTAAGGGGAACGAATACTGAAATAAATTGATTAATTATTTATGTAATAATGAAATAATTCATGCTTAATATATTATTTGCAACTTACCACTTGGTATACTATAACTTGGTAATTTCATTTTCAAATATTCCCTTATTTGTTTAATAAGTCTACGACATGTGCGCTTGCCAACTGAAAATCCCGCCTCTTCATCTTCATCAGCAGAACTCACAAACTCTGACAATTCATCTCCTTCCATAGGTACAAAGTAGCTGACAAGAGTTTGTTCCTCATTTTTATCTCTACGAACGAGGGTAACATTTTCTCTCACAAGTGGATGTTGTGAAAGATGTGTATCTATCTCACCAAGTTCAATTCTAAATCCTCGAATCTTAATTTGATCATCGGCTCTTCCAGTACATTCAACTAGGATTTTTTATTGTGTAAAAAAAAAAAGGTAATTAATTTTCAAAACCATGAACCACTTGAATCATCATGTATAATTGAAAATAAAGCGTTAATATACCGTTCCCGTCTGGCCTATATCGTCCAAGATCACCAGTCCTGTATAACCTATCTCTCTTGCCCTTCCAAAATTGACGCCATTTCTCATCCCCTTCATTCTTATCTGTGTATTGAATATCATCGCTAAACCAATTTGTAAGAAACTTTTCCTTCGTCACATCCTCTAACCTAAGGTAACCTTCGGCCAATCCACCAGCTCTAACATAAATCTCACCAATCTCACCAATACCACATAAAGAATCTTTCTTTTGCCTGTTGACAACAAGCAATTGAACGTTCTTCATGCCTTTTCCTGCAGGTATAACATCTTTCTGAGATGATAAGAACGCAGGGGCAGAAGAAAGTGATGGAATAACAAAATAAGAAACAGATCTCTGTGTTTCTGTTGTTCCATACATATTTATAATTTTGGTATTTGGTGCAAGATGCTGGAGACGGTTACAGTCACGTTTTGTTAAAATATCCCCGACAAAGAATGCATTTCGAAGCGAAGGTATCGGGGTGCTAGCATTAGCAGATAACAATTGACCCATAGCTACCATTTAATAATAATTCAAATCATTATTAATTAGAATTAAAATCTCAACAAATTTGTCATGGGAAATCAAATTACAGTTTTACCGGGTGTTAAATGAGTTACCGTGACTTCATGTTCAGCCATCCAAGAAGCCAATCTTCCGGGAATGCCAATATCTTCACTGGTCGGAACATGTAATTCGGCACCGAGAAATAATGGGGTGAAAACTAATAAGAAAGGAAACTCATTTTAATTATCAAAATTTCTCAATTAATAATAAATCACATAGTACTTCCATACTCACTATCACGTTGGATTGGATCATGAGCAATTCCACTTAACATTGTAAACTTTTCTTGATCAGTAAGATCAAATTCTCGAGACATCCATGGATAATAATGTGTTAGTGAAAAATGACGCCCCCTAACCCCTTTGATAAATGGAAAGTCAATTAATAAACTATAATTTAAAGGGCTTAAAGAGAAATGCATACGTTTTTCTTTTACCTTTCGGTATTCCGGTACTCCCACTTGTAAAACTTAAAGTTCCAATGCTATCCGGTCCAATGATTAAACCAGCACCTTCTGCGGCACGATCTCGAACCGAATCTAACGCATCGCCATCACCGTTAATATCACCCCCCTTCAAAAATCCATCGTCTAAAATTTCTAATGCAGGAATTTCGCATTTGATCTGAAGATTTTCTTGGATATATGTACGAACAGATGGATGTAAAGTTCCTGTATGTTTAAGCAGGATAATTCCATGTGGTACAGCAACCGATAGGTATATGTTTTGACGATCCGGTGGATAAGCAGGATCTGCGTAAAGATGATTGGAAATATTATTTCATTTTCAGGGTAATATTTTGCAATTATAAATAAATCAATTGAATGAAACCAACCAATTACACTAAATGTAGCACCAGCCTTAAGAACGCCCATCACCGCGACTACAAGATCCACACCACGGTACGCGTATACCATAACCACATCCTCCCTTTCAATTCCATTTTGAATTAAATGATGTGCGACAAGGTTAGAAGCCTCATTGATGTGACGATAGGTAAAAACGCGTCTCTTATTATTACTTCCACCACGAGATTCCACCACACAAGACTTTTCGGGAAATTTTTTTGCATTATCGGAGAAAATATCCGTAATTGCACCATGAAATCCAGACCAATCCAAATCCGCACGCGGATCAGGAAGAATATCAAGACTCCTTTTATTCAGTATAAGGATCTCTGCTACATGTAATTCTTTATTTTTAGCTACATTATTAATCACAGTAATTAATTGATCCAAGATATGTGAAATACGCTTTTCAGAAAATAATATTTGATTATATGAAATTTTGATTTCTATTGAAGGTAAAAGTGCTTGACGTAATGAAGAAGAGGAGTGTGAGGTGATTGAAACCGTCAGGTCTGTTGTAGATGACGTGACTTGTAATAACGGATTTTCCGGGATATCCGTCTGATTAAAGAAACGAACGCGAAATAATGGTGAATGCGTTGGCATCGAAGATGATTCTTGACCTACACCATTGGTTGATATGGATCTCTTTGGTATTGAATTCCTCCTTTCATCTTTAGCAGGAAATAAAGTTGATAATAATAAATGGAACGGGACTTCATCAGCAGTTGCCTCTTGTTCAACCTTGATAGATATGTAATAAAATGTTATTATGTTATAAAATGAAGATAATGACCTTGATACTCAATTTTCACTCACTTTTTGAACTTTTTGGACCACTTGTTCAAAAGTATCAGTAGGGCTAATATGTATTCTTAAAACGAGGGGATTTCTTGAATCCGATGAAGATCCAACGGTGATATCCTCATCACCAGTATATCGATATAACAATATGGTGAACGCAGCCAACAGAATTGCAAATGGAGATGGATTCTTATGATTTGAATCATGTGTTGGAGAAATACCTAGCGATAATTGCAAAACAGCTAATGCCGTGATTTCGGGTAAATGCAATATCCTGGTTGCCTCTACAACTTTTGGTGGCGAAGGTCTAGGATAATCTGTAGGCAATTGGATTTCGGTCAAATTTTGTAAACGTTGTTTCCAACGTTCTAATCTTTCTGTCATTAATAAAACATCTCCATGTGACATTATTGAAGAAACTTTACCGAGTATTTTTTTTACTAATTTTTTTTTTTTAAGATCTTCCAAATAGATTAAAACTACTAGATTGATAACTTTTATATGATTTTTAAGATCAGGTGTTTTCACGTTTGTACAACATCGAATTTTTATTTTTTGTCAGACACAAAATAGATTATCTCAATTATTTTGATTATTTGTCACGATGACAGAAACTTAAAAAAAAGCCAACCCCCGGCAAAGTCTAAGATTAATTTTAATGGTCATTGTCTTATACTATAAAAACACTAAATCATATCTTTATGGATAAACCTGGTGACACGAGAATTAAATGACGAATCATGGACTCAATAGTATAAATAAATTTCGTAAGTAGGTAGATACTATTTTTCATGACCTAAATAAATGAAATATTTTTTAAACAGCGAAAAAAAACACGCGATCTTTGCCATTTACAATGATGGCATTATGTATCCTATGTCCGAATAGAATAGTTTGCATGAAGAAATATAATAAACAAACAACATTTATAAGCTTATAAAAATCATGTGCTTCTGTATACTAGTTTTTTTTTTTTTTTTATGAACGGGTTTCACCTTTAGCAGTTACACTTGTTCATATAAACCGTCAATTGTTTACAATCAAAATTCTTATTTTATTTAACAAGAGTAAAGAATAAAATATGGGTCGTTTCAAACCAGTTATCAAAGCACAAGTCATCCCGCCCGTGACAAACACGTCTTCTAAGAATGATGATATTACAAAAGCATCTCCTTCGACACAAACAAATATCAACGATAACTCATCAAGTGTAACTCCAACAGTAGTTAATGTGTCAACTCAAAAAGGTCAAAAGAATCAAAAGATATCTGATGGACAAGAAGTAAAAAAGGTAATTACGCCACGTAAAAAAAAAACAAATAATAACAACACAATTCCAAAGAACAAGAAACCAAGCAAGGTATCAAATCTGGAGCCAAATATGGTAATTCCAGCGCCGGAGGGATCAACGGTTACATCCGCACCAAAACCAAACGTTAAACCTATGAGAAAACGAAAGAGCAAAAATAGCAAAAATAATGATACTTCACAGAGCGAGGCGAATAATAATGAAGGTGAAAGCAAACCCAAACGAGCCAGAAAAGCTAAAGATCCAAACGCACCAAAGAGACCTCCGAATGCGTATTTACAATTTACCTTGGCAAAAAGGTAGATCCCGATTTCCAAATATATTCCTACATCTCTAATTTTGGCTAGTAATACAAAATGACTGCTTTTGTTTTGATTTTTTTTTATTTTTTTTATATATATATATATATATGTTTATTATCCTTAATAGGACAGAATTGAAACAACAGAATCCAAAGATGAGTCCAAAAGAGATAACAATAATGCTTGGCGAAGCGTGGAGAAATTTGTCTGAAACAGAAAAGAAGGTATATGTTATGCGAAACTAAGTTAATTTACCCCAAAATATTATTTTAACTTATTTTGGTTTTACAGCCGTACTATGATCTCGTGACACAAGCTCTCGCGCAGTGGCAAGAAGATACGAAGGCTTATCAAGCCGTAAGTACCAAGTAGATATTTAAAAATAATAATAATAAAAAATATGATTAACCACAAAATACATTTTTTAAAAAAATAAAAAATAAAAATAAAAAATTTAAGTTGAATAATGTAGGATTTACACAAGAAACGACACAAGCGAGCGAAATTTATTCCTCCTCGGGAGTATTAGTTCAAGATAACGTACAGCAAAACGGTTTGAACACGCAATTAATTCCTGACAATAACTTGCCCGTGATCGTTTCAAGTCATAATACGACGGACGGATTATATCAACTTCAAGAATTTCAAGCGAACACGACCAATTCAACTTGTGTATCTTATACCGATTACAATTCATACGGACAAAAAGATACGATGGAGGCTTTGTTGGATATGCCTGATAACTCTCAAACATATGGCTATCATTCGGATATGAATGAAACTCATCTATATACGGATAACAATATAAATCCAAGGTTTTCACTTCCAACCATGATTCCTATCAAAGTGAACATAGTTGATCAAGATACACAAGGTTCATATTTTACACAAGATTTTCATACTACACAAGAAGGACAAAAACAACAAGAACAACACCAGGTTATCAAGCAGGATTTACTTTTGTGCCAACCATTTGATCCTACTGGCACCAATCAGAGATTGGAATCGAACGCGAAATCTGTTGATGAAAATCCTGTCATTCAGAAACAAGAAAAACCTGATACAAATAATATGCTCCTTTGCCAACCATTTGAACCTTCCGAGATTAGTAATGTTGTTCCGGATAATGATAATACATGGTTACAAGATGAGGATCAACATCAACAAACACAAAATGATTACTCTGAATCAATAATTTATCCACGATTCACTTCTCATGAAATATCTGAACGAGATTCTCATCTGATTCATCAAGGAACATTGCAAGAAATTCCTCAACATGTTGAAATGTATCAACATCAGGTACAGCAGTCGTTATGTCGACATAATCCTGAACCCACAAACGAAATGAATCAATCCACTCATTCAATACAATACTTAACCCATGGCGATGCACGAACAAACGATATCTCATTCGATGTCCGAACAAATCCTGCTACCATCATTATGACTAACTTATAATGAGCATAAAATGGATATGATTAGTAGTTAATATATTTCATGCGAAAGCAATGCATTTAAATGATTTAATAATAAAATAATAATTTACATCATGAATAAAGAAAGGGGTGAGAAAGAAATATTTGAAAAATCACATGTATAATCTTATTAGATGCAGTTTCGTGAAATAGATGTTACACATGTTAATTTTTTTTCAAGATTTACTTTTTATGGTAAAGTTTTAGTTTTTCCTTTGACAAGTTGTGAGTAAATTTAAGATTATTGTACGTACTAACGCGTTGATCATTAATAAAACCATGATAAATTTTTTGAATTAGATTTAAAAAAAGTAATTAAAAAGAACAACATTTTTTGTCTTTATTATTATAATTAGTTTTTCTTTTTTATTTTCTTCTATTTATTGACAACCATATATACTCTGTATATCTTTAATTATGTGACGTAGAGTTCAGTAGGTTTTTTAATATACAGTATCAGATATGGGATATTAAAATGAGATTTAGCTTGATAAAATTTAGGTCGTATTATAAATGATTTAATTTAATAAATTTCCTAAATTAAACAAAAGTGATTTACATGTCGTAAATTTGACGTCAATATGATGAAAGCAATGATTTTTTAAATCTTTTAAAAAGGAAAATTTTTATTTCGATTCCTTGGACGAAAAACATAAAAACAAAATAAATTCGGGTTTAAAAAATATGACAAATATATTAGCGATTAACGCGGGAAGTTCAAGCTTAAAATTTAAATTATTTCTTCATGATGAAAACAAAGAAGAAGCCATCAATCTGGTATCAAAAGGAACCATCTCGGAAATTACCTCGGAATCATCATCATTTTCCGCAAAAATCATTTCGTCCGATACCAAAACGACAAAATCTTTACAGACGATCACTCACGAGAAAGCATTCAATCATATCATTTCATACCTACTTGAAACGATAATAAAATCAAAAGATCAAATAAAATATATCGTTCATAGGGTGGTTCACGGTGCGACGGAAACCCAAGAATTCATCTTGAGATCTGATCCAACAACTCCTCGGGCTCTATCCAAACTTGATTCATTATCTGAATTGGCACCATTGCATAATCATGTCAGCGTGTTAATAATAAAATCTTGTTTAAAAGAATTGCCGAATTCAACGAATTACGCGTTCTTTGATACGTTATTTCATCAATCCATACCACCTCATGTTTACACTTACGCTTTGCCTTTTGAGAAAGCCAAGCAGAAGAGAATTAGAAAATATGGTTTTCATGGTATAAGTCATTCTTATGTTACTAAAATTGCCGCGAATTATTTGGGAATTGATTGGAACGATGATGATACAAAATTTATCAGTTTACATTTGGGAAGTGGTGCTAGCGTTTGTGCCGTCAAAGGTGGCAAAAGCATTAATACAACTATGGGATTAACCCCTTTAGAAGGTACGAAACAATTTTTTTTGGAGAGGGTTCTTTTTTTTTTTTTAAAAAAAAAAATCATCATCCATTTATTAAAATTATAGGATTGCCGGGAGCTACTAGGTCTGGTTCGATCGATCCTTCTGCCATATTTCATCTTTCGTCTAAAGCACGTAAATGTGAAGAATCCCACCATTCAGTGGAAAAACAATTTCATTTAACGGAAGCGGAATCTATTTTAAACCATGATTCGGGATTTAAAGGACTTTGTGGTCTTTCAAATTTCGGGGACATTACAAAATCGATTCACAATGCTACCGAGGGGAACGAAAATCAAGAACGCGCAAAATTAACATTTAATATCTTTGTCAATCGTATCGTGAATTATATTGGAAGTTACTTTGTTGAATTAGAAGGTAATATTAGTGCATTGATATTCACCGGTGGAATTGGCGAAAATAGTAAAGAATTACGCGAATCGGTCACGGATAAGGTTGAATGTTTAGGATTTCCCAAAGTTGATAAAGAGAAAAATGAAAATGTTGAAGGATCCTTTAAGAAAGGTGATGATGTGGTGGAAATTTCCAACAGGACAAAAGGAAAGTCTCGAGTGTTGGTGGTTGAAACCAATGAGGAAAAAGAAATGGTTAATCAATTAATCGCGAAAATTTAGGCATATAAGGGTCGTGTAGGTTAAATATGATTTCGCTCGTGCATACGTAAATTTTTTTTTTTTACGATTAAAATCCAAAGTAACGTTGTGATCTAGACTTTGTGTTGCAATCATTTGTTCATGCAGTTTATGATGTGGAACAATACTAACAATACTCTGCTGTAAACGTCACGCGTACTTGCAAAAAATTTCTTTTCGTGTGTATAGTTTGGCGCTGCACGTGTAACCACTTTGATTGTGACTTTATAAAAAAAATATATTTTAGGAATTGGTAAATTTCACACTATAATTTACCGAAAATATAAAGTTTACATGCATAGATTACTCATGTCACAGTTTTTTACTTTTGAATAAACCGAATATACATACACTCATGAATTCCATGGACTTTGACGAGAAAAAATAAAGTCATCACTTTTTCAATCGTTTTTTTTTTTTGGTTTTCTTCCTCCTCCTCTTTGGTTCGTACCTGAATCATGCTCAATTACATGTTTTATATATAAAACTTTCGACATTCGTGCAGAAACTTGGAGTATGATATTAATTCCTTTTATTATGCGTTTATTGCTCACATTTGACAAAGATATGCAATCACGCACACGCACTCATACACAAAAAAAAATGCTCTCGTTAAATTACATTGGAAGATATCTGAAGAGAACAAATTATGTCCTTTCCTTTTGTCTCCTTTTGCATTTACCAAAAAGAATTTTTGATGAAAGAAAAAAATAACCTATTTATTTAAAAAATCTTTGTATTTACAATTCGTGCATGAGGTAACAATAGTAACAAATATGGTCTCATAGAAATTTCAATAATCTATGACATGATGTCACCCTTTCCAGCCCATCCGCTAAACCTTAAAAAGAACAATATACTCTGAAACTAACCTCCTTGCATCTAATATTTTATTTGGTTATTAAAAAAATATCTCTTTACGACCTAAAAGAAATGAACAAATAGAACATCCTTGCGTAAGGCTGAATTATTGTCCCACGGATAAAACTTTGATCGTTACCCCTTTCGGATTGAACGCGGCAAAAACGACAAACTGTCCAAAAAAAAATCAACTACAACAAATTTTTTTTATGAAAGGGTTTACATTATCGCACATAATCAGCTAGCTCTTTTTTTTCCAATTTGAAAATCAAAAAGAACAGTTTTTTCTAAAAGAAATAGAACCCATATTTATAAACAACGATAGATGTTACATGAAATTATCATACCTTTTAATACCCAATAATTAATTGTACAAAGTATAAAAATAAAATTTATTTTATTAGAAAAAAATTTATAAATAATTAATGGTCAAATGACTTGATGTGTGTAATTGTATTATTGATAAAGTTTCATCTATCTTAACAAAAAGAAGAGAAAAAAAAAGCCGAGGCACACGGACGTTAATCTACCACGAAAGAACGACTGCGGACACATCATAATGCATATATTAATTGAATGATGAGCCGAGAATGAAGGGGGGTTTGTATTGTAAAGTAAAGGGGGTGAAAAAAAAAAAAAAAAAATACGGGGACACAAACTTCGGCTGCAAAAGCTATGCATGAACAAATTAATATATATTCGTTTCAAATCTTTCAACCCTAATTGTGATGAATAGATGTTGTAGATCTTCGTATACTAAAAAAACAAAAAAAAATTGATTTATCGAAAAAAAAAAAATCATATATATAATTTTTTGATTGTTTCACTCAAAAGCAGTACATAAAATTAAAAATTCCTGGATGATGATTATAACATATTGGGCGTCCTTTATTTTAATTGTTTTTATTCATATTTATTTATAGTCTAGATCACTTTTTAATAATGAATGAATATTTAAATACCATGGAGCTTTGAACATCTCTTGACACAAAAATTTTTTTGATAAGAGGATTATCACATAAAAAAATTTTTTTAAAAAAAAATATATTACGAAAGTTACTTGTATATAACGATAATAAAGAATAAAAAAGTAGAAGTAAAAACTTGTTTTTAATAGTAAAAATAATAATAATAAACATGTTGAACATGAAATACAAGTCCAAAGAACGAATAATACTAAATGTCGGTGGTATTAAAGTGAGTTTTATCCGTGTTCGCTTTGCTTATTCGACGTCATACAAGGTGCATAGCGATTGAGACATCCCTTGTTTCTTTCTTCAACCCTCTTTTAGTACGAAACATTTCGGTCAACGCTAACCGCATATCCGGAAACAATGCTCGGTACGATGTTTGAAGAACGAAATAAAGAACTATTACATCCAACGAACGGTAACGAATATTATATTGACCGAAACGGACGATTATTTCATTGCATACTACAATTTTATCGAACGGGAAAGGTACCATCCGCAGATAAAGGTGAGCATTACGCGCTTGAAAAACACATGATAATTCTTCAATTTCATGCATGTAATCGTTTTTATTAATCTTTCTTCTCATTCGTACATCTAAAAACTTTAGCAAACTGCGCGATACCAATTACGCAAAAGGAACTCGACGCGGAATTGGATTATTTCATGATACCGCGAGAAAAACGATTAATATCGAAAACGCAACCACAATCAAAACCGCAGGTTACAAAATTATCACTAAGAAGTCGAACCGTAGCGGCCGAACTGGATGATTTCATTACAGCGTTAAAGACAGCGATTAATCGAGCGATATTATATTTTCAAAAAAGATTTATAATGTCAAAAGGACTCGGGTTTAACGTAACGCTTGAAATGGCATTTTATACGTCGGATCGGATGCAACCAGTTATTACCGTATTACCGACAACCATAGGAAAATCCCCCGTGCCTCAAATAGCCGAAGTGATAAATCAACCCGCATTTGGTACACGAGCGTATGCATTATTAAACCGTTTTGGTGATAAGATTGGTGAACACTTAGAAGAAATTTATCCCGGTTTATGCTGGGATTTATTATTGCTTAAAATCTGTAGTGATTCCGATGGTTCTATAGATTCAATGTATCGTGTTCGAATACAAATATGCGATGAATTTGATTATGAAGAAATAATTAAGAATTGTTGTCTATCGACGACGACATTAAAATATTTTTACTAAAAAAAAAAAATGACACGTTCATAAAAACTTGAAATTTTATTGGTTCTGATACGCGTATTTTTACGCATTCACCTAATCAAGGCTTGTATCATAAGGAATAATATTAAGGGATTTATAATTATACGTAATGCGCTGCGAATCAACTGCTTAACACTTGAACTCATTCATTTAAGAAAAATCAAGATAAAAAACCATAAAGATCACGCATTATATAAGCATTTAAACTAATCATATTTCGACAATTTGTAAATTATAATCATATGGTATAAGAAAAAAAATTTTTTTAAGTAAATAAAAAAAAAGCAAAAATGCATAGATTTACCGGATGTGTGCATTTATTAATCTTTAAAAATTAGACACCGAAAAAAAAAGAAAGAAAAAAAAAAAAAAAAATGCGAATGCTGTACTCGATTGGGTCATATGATGCATTTATGCATTCTTTGTTGTGAGATCAAATGAAAATTTCATCTTAAAAAAATATTCAAACATCTAAAAATCAGGTTATTCTTAAACAAACCCCGCATCAAGTTTTTTTTTATGAACTGTTTATTATTGTCCTGTCAAAAAGGTTAAGTCATCTGCCAACCCTTCTTTAGTAAAATTATTTTGTGCAACACAGGTACATAAAATCTTGTTTGCTATATTAAGCCACTATCCATCTCCCTTTCTTCAAGAAAAATAATAAAAAGCACACAATGCCAACAAACGGGGCAGCTGACAATAATTCCAACAATAATGACACTGCTAATAATGCAGACATACTTGCCGTAAGAGATAAAATCACCCTTAATGTAGGAGGTATTAAGGTACATAATTATTTAAAACGTTTGAATCTTCAATGGAAAAATGCTGTCTCATTTCCCTCTATTTCTCTCGCTTACCCGAATGTTCTTCTAGTATGAAACATACAGGTCAACATTAACTTCCTATCCAACGACTTATCTTGGATCAATATTTCATTACAATGATGAAGAAAATCCATTAACTGACCCGAATCGTGAGAATGAATTCTTTATCGATCGAGACGGTCATTTATTTCATTATATAATGCAATTTTATCGAACAGGAAAAGTTCCAACGACAGAACAAGGTAGGTAATAGTTAAATATTTTCTGAACGAAATTTATTTTACTTACTTATTAGGTTCTTCCTTTATCAGCAATCGGATTGGTTCCAATTACAACTCAAGAGTTAGAAGATGAATTGGAATATTTTAAAATTCCCACATATCCACCTTCATCATTTTCAGCCACAACCTTATCCCCCTCACAACTTTCGCTTCGTCACAAGATGATTGCAGCAGAAATAGATTCATTTACTTCGACGTTAAATGATACATTATTAGCCATCTCATCGCAATTTAAAAAAGAGTTCTTCTTTAAACGACAATTCCAAATTCATTTTGAGATAACGTTTCATCATAATGAACGTATATCGGATTTTAATATCTACCCAACCGTAAATAGTGCCATTAAACTTCGATTACAAAAAAGTTTTGATGGATTTGCCTTGTTAGGTTACGCCATGTTGGACAGGTTTGGGGAAGAAATTGGTAGATACATGACCACAACCGTCCAAGGTTGTACTTGGGAATGTAAAAAAGTTGAAGAATTTGGTTGGGGTGGGTTACAACAAATGTACAAGGTTAAGGTTGGTGTGGAAAATAGTTTTGAGCATGATGATGTGGTCAACCATTGTTGTCTTGCTTCTGTTGTTTCGGATTCAATGGGTGCTAGCAGTGATTCGTTGAGTTGATGCGATCTAGAGAGAAAAGTTTAGCATCATTGGATATAAATTATTCTTTTATTTATTCTATAAATTTTTTTTTTCAAATTTCCTTGTATATTATTAGACATTATTGACATTATTAGACAAAAAAAAATACAAAAAAAAATACATAAATTTAAAGTTTGAAATTTACCCTAGTGTCACACGCGATATGATTGTTCGATCATTTCTTTTTTTTTACAGCCTGATATTTGCTCTTTAAATTTTGCGTCATTATCTTTGTAAAAATTAAAAAGTTCGAATAACCCATATTTGGTTAAAAATCTCCAAAATCGAATTTTTATTGGGTTAGTCAAATTCCTTGTCCATTCATATGGTTTTACTCATTGTATGCTATCTTGACCAAATAAAACATTATCCCGATGTATTTCACTCTACTCTTCGAACCCTTTGAATATTTTTGTGTTTGGAAGCAACATCGCGATCCACAATTTACAACAGAAAATTTTTTTCAATTGTTTGCATTTAGAAAGAAACTTTAATCGGTGTAACAGAATTCATTATGAGGTTATATTTGATTACATCGTTCCCTTTTTTAGTTGAGGTAATAACTAACGACTATATTAATATATTAACGTTAATCTTTCCGATCACAAATTTCTCGTAATCCGACCGTGTCACTCTTTGATGATAAGATTTCTTTAATCTACTATAAAAACAGTTTCTGTATAAAAAAATTTCATCTAAAAAAAAAAAATAAAATAAAAAATAAAAAAAAAAAAGATAACCGAAAATACTTTGTTAGTAATTGGTTGGTACGTGCTTTATATACACATTAAAATAGAAAGTTAAAGTTACCTAAATATTACGAAATCTTATTTTATTTGATTATAAATTATTTTTGGCAATTCAAACGAACGCGTTTCTAAAAAGTACAATGGGAATTTTTATATCCAAGTACATATCGGGATTCATTCAAAATTCGCCAAACATACTCCAATTAGAGTTTTAACAATGGTTCGGAATTCCTGTTGATCAAAATTTATCCTTTTTAAGATTTTTATTTAAAAAAAGGTCGTCTTTCAAACTTTTCCTTTATCCCCTCCATTTCCATTCATTGATTTCCCATTGAATTACTTTTGAATTCATGTATCCAATCCTTAGGAAAACAACCTTTGAACCTCTTCTTTTTTATTAAAAACTTAAACAAACAAGTAAATAAATAATGCAAACGTCTACCCTTTTTACAAACGAGGTCATTATACGCGAAATATTGAAATTCTTAAAAGATGAAGACATTTCATTATATGCTTACCTATTTATAAATAAATATTGGCTTCGGCTTACAACAACTTTACTATGGAAGAAACCCTTTCAAAATTTAAAAGAAACGAAATCCAATTCGCTTATAACAACTTACATCTCTTGCTTATATGCTCATTGCCATGACTGGCTAAATGAGGAAGAACGTTCCATGATTTACTTCATGATTAGCTCTTATGAACTTTCATCACCTTTCTATGAATATGAAAGATATTTGAAAGAGATTCCTTTTAAATCCTTGAATAAAGCTGTAATCCAATGGTTTGATCACGTATATGGCGAGCACGACAAGAAAGCTCAATTCACTCGAAACATTGAACTTAAATTATTCAAAATGTTTGCAAAAAAAAGTATTTGCATAGAATCCATAGCAATTGATTTTGAAGTTGGTAACTTTTCAAATATCTTTGAAGGTGAAACATCAAAGATTTCGAACTTGAAAAGTCTTTTATTATCATTCCCTCCAAAGATGAATGATAGTTATGTACTCAAAATTAAGAATTTTCTTCGTGGACTTCAAAATGTCCTTCAAAGTCTCGAAGAGGTATTCTTTTTAGTCGATGAAACCGAAAGGATAGAAGATGACAGCTATAGTTACAGCAATAGTTACTTAATTGAGAAAACTACCGATGAAATAATTGCCTTTGTAAATTCTCAGAAACATCTAAAGGGTTTTAATTTGGTAGGAGAAGAGAATGTGCATTTAAATGCCAAAAGAATTATTTTACCAGTTTTGAGATCTCATGTTGACTCGTTGACGTACTTGAATATTGATAATGTAGATTTTGGGCAAATGGCATTTCAATATTTTGAAAAGTGCGCTAGTTTGGAATCATTAGGCATGAGTTCCTGTACTGGGTTAACTACGCAATTTCTTAACCCCAATACAACATTTCCGAACCTAAAGAAATTGGAGCTGTCTTTGAATAGATTTAATCTTGAAATGACCTCGTTAATCTTGAAAAAAGCGGGAGAAAATCTAACCGAATTGGAAATTGATGACGTTTCTGACGAGATCTTGAACACGATAGTGGTACATTGTAATAAAATCGAAAGCCTTACTATTTCGGGAAGGTATTTTCGTGGAAATTTGAATTTGCCAAAGCTTCGCGAGTTAAAATGCTTGAAAAGATTAGAATTGTTGTACGTCGCTGACGTGCACGATGTACCGAAAATGGAACGTGCCAAGTCAGAAATTAAGGACACGGTGACAAGATTATTTGATCCCGAAGAATTTGATCAGTTTTATGACATGGCTAAAGAATTTGATTACTCATTTGTATCAATCACATTCTTTAATCAGAATTTTCAGAATTTTTATGGAGGATCTGATAACAATGAATTTGATTATGCCCAGTGTTCTTTGGAGATTAAAATGAATAATTCTGTGGATTCGGACCAGAGGGGGGATAACGTATATGTGAGTCATATTACTCTAAAGAAGCAGCGCAGTAAAATTGAGTTGAAATTTAAAGATCTTTTAAAAAAATTGCAGGATGAATAGATATATATTTTATTTCACAGGTTTTAAAAGCCATATTTAAGAATTTTCTTTTTAAAATTGTAGGCCCATCCATATATTAGGTACTTTAGCATTATGTATTAAGAATTCCTTCTTCTAAATATAGATTTACTTTTTTATATATTTAAAATTACTCAACCTAAAGTACTGCCAATCGTTTTATATTTACTGTATCTGTTGATCAAATACAAATTTTTCCTTTTCCATTTAAATAAAGGGTGTTTATTATTTAGTATATAATTGACTATTATGCTATCTTTTTCTTAGTGATACATATGATTAATAATCAACGAATTAATCTTATAAATAAAATCATTTTGTAATTTTTGAAATTGAATCTTCGAAAAAAATATGAAATCGGAACAAAATATAAAATCGATTAAAGAAGTTCTCGATAATGAAGGAGCAGCAGGTATTTATGTTTTAATTTTTTTTTTCTTTCTTTATATTTTTTTTTGAAAGTAATTTATTTATAATAATTTCATAAATCTTAAAAAGGGTGGGACACATTATATAAGGAAGAAGTAAGTCATTTAGGTTTAATTAGCTTCCCCCCGGAATTTATGACGAAATTTATTTTAATTACTCCTTAGTATACTCCTTGGGATTTTGGAGAGATTTCACCAGCTTTAAAGCAATTAATTGAAGAAAAAAAATTTCCTTTGCCTGATGGACGTGGCCTTGTACCGGGATGTGGAAATGTATTTAAATCCTTTTCGGTAATTTAATCATATAATATTAAGTTAATTAATCACTTTGTCACGTTAGGGGTATGATGTGTTTTATCTGTCGAGCGAGGGCAGGCATGTTACAGGATTAGATTTAAGTCAAATCTCAATCGAACGAACTCAACAGGTACTTTAATATCAAGTTATGTTTCCTTTAAAGATTGTTTCTCATTTGAGATATCCTTACCAATTTTTATTTTTATTATAGAAACAAAAAGAACTTCAAATTCCCGATTCTCACGTAACGTTTCAACAAGGAGATTTCTTTGGTCACATTCCGCCAAAAGAGAAATATCAAGTTGTCTACGATTACACGTAAGATATCATTCCATTCGTTCAGCTCATTCATAATTATGATAACGACGATGAATCTCCAAAGGGTAATGAAAAAAAAAAATCTTTTATTAGGTTCTTGTGCGCCTTGTCACCAGAATTACGTCCAAAGTGGGCTTCTAAAATCACGGAATTAATCTCTTCTAATGGTATATTAATCGCATTAATGTACCCTATCGGTGATCATAAAGACGGACCTCCGTTTGCTCTTAATCCAGAAATGCAAGTAGTTCGAATATATTTTTACACGTTTTTTATGTGGCTCAGTTAGTAACTCACTTTTTTATTTTATTTTTGCAGATACCAAGAATTATTGGGAGAACATTTTACTAGAGAATATTTTGATGATAACCCAAAAAGTTTTGAAAAAAGAAAAGGAAAAGAATACATGTCAGTATGGAGAAGGAAATAATATTGTATTTAACTGCGCCACCTAAACATGTAGCATATAAATACAACGAATAATAAACTGTCCACATAAAGGAACATTATTACTTTTATTCTATTATATCAATGAACCCTCTTGATTCAAGGATCTGCCTGCATGTTGTCATTATTATAATGAATATTACGTAATGATAAAAATTTTTTCGAGATTATCGGACAATTTGATGAATCTTTTTTTGATGGCTGAATTTTTTTTTACGCAGTAATTGTACTAATATGTTTATATTGAAAAAATAAAAAAAAAATTTGAAATCGTCAATTATACTTTTTAAGAGATTGCTATGCTATTAGTAATTTTACAATGAGTGACTTTTCCTATGGATTAATAATCCAAATGCGCATAAAAAATTCTCTTCCCATTGGCTGAACTTTACTCCAATCGAACTTTCTCAATATCATCAGGTGCTTTTATAATAGTATATTATGTTTAGTTTTTATTTGCATTTAATTACAGTAATAGAGAAATATTAATTAAAATTAGGAAATTTATTATAAAGTTTCACTCTAAATTGCTAATAATAGAAATGCTTTATCAATATAGTTTAAGATTAGAACACCTATTCAGATGACGTAAAAATGGACAATCCTAATATGTTATACTTCTTAAACAAACAGAATTAATATTATTTAACCTACACAAAAATCTCACAGGAGTGCATCTTTGGAATAAAATTTAAAATCTAAATTTCTAACAATCCTTTCCTTGATTCTTAATACTTTAGCTCTTGGACAGAATTTTACAATTTAGTACATTTTATCTAATTTTTGATTGATTAATAAATAATATGAATATATATTATAATGTGCTTTGTTACAAGTTCTTTTAGGTAGATGAGGATAAAATTTCGATCTGCGCATCCGGTTTAACCCTAATGCAACCGGATTGGATATTTGGATTAAGTCTAAAATTTGATTTTTGACGGTTTCTAAAACAAACCTGGTTGATTTTTAGTATTTTCATCAACTAACTCTAAAATCTTTAGATAATCAATTCCTTTGCATAAAAAATATATATTTTAACTCTAAACGTTGTATATTTATCATTATTCTTGAAAAAACTTATTTTCAAGCGTCGATATACAAATCAATTAAAGTTACACGAAATTTTTGCAGTATGTTTAATCCATTTTCCAGTTGTCATTTTTGTGTATTTCGAAGTCAATATCATAATGCGTTTCCTGTACAATATTGTACGATTCATAAAGAATTCATGGAAAATACGTACCCATTTCCAAGTTTGGAATAAACGAGCGCATTACAAGAATAACATATACACCGCGGCAAATATCATACTGCTTTTTATATAAATGCTTTGAGTTTTCTGATAATAAGAATATACTGAATTAGATTGTTTCACGGTTATAATTTTAATTACAAAAGAAAATCTCACGATAAAATGAAAAATCAAAATTAACATGTAACCGCAGACTGTATTTTAAAGAAACTGGTAGGAAAATATTAATTAAATAGCTGTGTAGATAGAATGGAATTACCATGCCTAAACCCCGTACTCATCATAATATACCCGGGTATTTTATCATTAAGTTGTACCCGCTACATCAAAGGTATCCTGGACTTGGATACACATACCTTTTATTATTTTCTCATTTTAATTCATCAAATATCATCTTTATTAAAATTTTTATTTAAAAAAATATTATAATAAAAAATTTATTTAAATAAAGCAAATAATTGTCTTACAATATATCATAAATACCCTACCGCTATTATACCCTGCTCCTTACAAGAATCCCGGGGTATTTTGGTAATTTTTTTATTTAAAGAAAAAGAAAATTACTTATCTTGATTCATTCAATTTAAATTCAGAATTTTAAAGGGTTTTAACAATCTACAAAGAGAGATGAGTAAAAGAATTTAATTTTTTTTTATTTAATTAATTTAAAAGTAAAAAATTACTAATCTTTGATTTATTATTTAATCCATGATTCTGTAATAGACTTTTAATATTTACAAAGAGAGATAAGTAAAAAATATTAATTTTTTTATTTTAAAAAAAATATATATATAAATCTTAATTTATTATTTAATCTTAGGTAATAATACTATTTGAAACCTATTTTAATGTGTACTGTAGCTTAAAAATTGAGAAACTATTTCAAAACCTTTAAAATGACTTTTTTTATATCTAAACTTGATGAAATTTAATTGAGTTTAGGAAAACCTATTAGAAGTTTAGGTAAAGATATTTATTATAAATAAATAGTTTTATCTCAAATATCTTGAAACTCAAATTTTCTAAAAATAATTTAAGAAGAATCTTTATCTGGTAGGATAGTCATATTTCCAAGTATATATTTACTTATATTATTTGTAGAATGCCAAAACTTTCTTCAGGTTCTAGATTATTAGATTGAATAATGAATCAAACATTAGTATTTTTTTTCTTTTAAAATAAAAATAAAATAAAAATTTAATCTTTTTACATAAATCTTTTATAAAATGCTGAAACTTTTTTCAAGATTTTAGATTATTAAATTGAATGTAAATTGTCTTAAAATAATTAAAATAAAATTCATTTCTCTTTCCTTTTTTTTAGGTTACCAAAGTCCTTTAGAATTCTGAAATTCTGAATTGAATAAAACAAGATTAGTAATTTTTTATCTTTTAAATAAAAAAATTTACTTATCTCTTTTTATAAGATATTAAAGTCTTTTACAGAACCCTAATAAAAATAGATTTTTAATGTCATGATAGTATTATGATAATTATGATATATATTTCATATGATTAATGTGATTATATTTATCTACTTATGCTAAAAATATGATTTTACATTTATTTTAATTCTTAAATCTTAAAGAATAACTAATAAAAATTTGAAATATGATTATTAATACTTGTTTTACGTAATTTTGCAATTAATATAAACATCTTTATTACTTAAAATTTCAGTGTTAGAAATTGGATCAGTAGATCAGCGAAAAATTGATCTATAAAATTGATCTATAAAATTGTTGCATAATATATATAAATATGATTAAACACATTTTTTATATAAAAAGAATAATTCAGCTTCTCCCTGATTTATACAAGAATTGGAAATACGTTGGTTGTAATAATGCTATGAAATCAATTTTACATTTATGGTATTGTTCGACTTATTTATCAAGGATAACCTCTGTTATTAATTCTACTAAAAACTACCTTTTGTCTCTTCTTGATGATCAACCAATCAAACCTGCTGTAATAGCTGATATTCTCTTCATTTTCGACCAAATTTTCAATTTGTTTTCCGATATTGATCTTACCTCAATTATGATACCAGAGGACTAGGTATCAAAATTTTCAGTAATTTATCAATCCATGAAAAGCAAAAACAGATGCATTAAAATCATCACAAAACTTTTTATATTCTTCTATCAGAAAATATACGAAGATGTTTAAAAACTTTGTTGCAAACTTATGGTTATCAAAGAACAACTCTTAGGTATATCAACTAAAGATAAATGTTTA